TTTTTGAGTTATGTATTTCACGTTATAGACTCTTGTATTATGGTCCTTTGTGGGGAAAACATGTATTCTATGTATGAAATATGTATTATATGCAATGTATGGATTTGGGGGTTGTTACAGTGATTTGATGATAATCCCTTTTTACCTATATACGAAGTATTTATGTTTCTGTCTTTTCAGTTCCAGCGATCTTCACTGAGTCTGTTCAGTGATCACTGAAGAACTTGTATTGTAAAATTCAATCAGCGACAACGATACTTCAAGAAGACAACACTCACACCAAAGAACCTTCAGCCAATGTCGAATACTGAAACTGAAGACTAAAGACTGTCGAGTACGTGATTTGAAGCTGTACTCAGTGATTACAAGTCTGTCTACATATGTGTGAAGACTGCCCAAGCCTCAGCGAATGTTGAAGAGACCTTCAGGTTATTCCAGCATTCAGCGATCAAAAAAGCTTGTTAAGCACGATTGTTGTTGTCTTGTCCTTATATACACAAAGGACAAACCCATACCCTTTCTAAAACGTTAGTACGGTACGGAGCCGATTAGTTGACTCTATTACCCACCAACTTTAAGTAAGGATGTCTGCTAATGAATAGGCTTTTGTACTATTCATTGTAGCAAAGAACAATCCCTCCCCTTAAGGCTTGACACACGTTCTAACCCTACCACGTTGCATTAAATGTGTATTTAATGCAATGGGTATAAATAGATGTGTTCTATCTCTATGTAGAGATACTCTTAACCTAAACCTTACTCTGAGCATCCTTGAGCTTAAGTAAAAGAACACACATCTAAGAACAAAACGTTCATCTTCAAGAGCAAGTTAGAATCCCTTGTATTGCATTCTAAATAAGTTCATTCTCAGAAAGAACTTACTTTCTTCTATTTCTTTTACAGCAAATCTTTTCTTATTTGCTAAGTTTAAGTGTGTAACTAAATATTGTTTAGATAAGTTTTCTTACCTTATCTTTCCGCAAACAGTTTTGTAAAATCTGTATTGATCTTCTCTTATCAATATATATTTTAAATTTGGAAATATTATGTTTGTATTCATTCCCCCCTTCTACAAACTGTTATACATATCTTGTAGACCCTTATGAGACCAACAATATATGAACACAATTGAACGTATATGAACACTAGTTGCAGTCTATGGCAGGTTAAGCATCACAAGCAGTTGATAGAGCCGAATGGTTATCAGAATTGGATTGCATAACAAATTAAGTTGACGATGAATTCATTCCGTTTGAACATATGAATTGGGCTCGTAGTAATAATTAAAGAAAAATCTATCAATACAATATGAACTATAAAAAAACACAAAAATGTCATAATCAACATAATTTCGATTAAAACGAATACAATAACATATTAATCCATTACCAATACAAACGCTTTGATTATTGTTCACTTCTGGAACTCGAAGTCCGATTGTCATCATAAACCATTTTAACTTTCACATTGTTGTCGAGTTGTTTTCCAATGGGTTTATCCATATTAGCTTGAACGATATAGAAAACTTTACTATCGGGTCTTCTTTAACAATCACAAATTCAAGAACATTATAGATAGACAAATCAATATTATAGAAAAACAAAATCAATGGTAAATCAACAACAATTATGAGTTTTTTTGATTTTGTAACTCCCAATTAATGATATGGGAGTTACATACAAACTAAAATTACATATTTACCCTTGTCATTAAATTATGAGATGAATATAAACCTAGATAAAAGATGGATTTTCATTGGTTGAGCTTGGTTAACAAAGTTAACACAATAATCTTGGTTAACATTTGAACAAAGCGCGCACGCCCCCCCTCTCTCTCTCTCTCTCTCTCTCTATATATATATATATATATATTGGATTGCATTAGTTGTACAAATGGACATGGTTGCATTTGAAATATATATATATATATATATATATATATATATATTGTTTGTTAACCAAGAATAACATTGTTAATTTTGTGAACTTATTGGACCAGTATGATTCATTTTTTAGTAGAAGTTACTTCAAATGTTTGATTTAATGATGAAGGACAAATAGGTAATTTTTATGTGTAAGTTACCTTTATGGTTTTTGATGAGATGCTACAATTTTTTATGTGTAAGTTACTTTTATGGTATTTAATGATGTTCATAGATGTTCATAAGAATGTGTTCATAATCACAAGACATTCATAAGAATTTTCTCATATGTGTTCATAAGAATGTGTTTATAACCATAAGGCTTTCATAAGATTGTGTTCATAACCATATGATGTTCATAGTTGTTCAATAAGTTTTTCGTAGGTGTTCATATGCCATGATCTTTTCCACAAATACCCCTATTCTTGAATGTTCACCATGCTTATTTTTGTTCAAATTTTCATTTTATTACAAATAATGCCATGATTTAATCTATAGATTTCAAGGATTATGAGATAAGATTATTTCACATAGTTAACATCAATTATTTGGTTAACAAAAGAACCAGCTCCTATATAGAATGCAAACCAAACCATTTACACAAACATCGATTTCATTATTTGATTTAAAGAAATTGTTTCATAAAACTAATTGTTTTTTATCAATATTTTTTACTTTTCTGGTTTTGGTTCCCTCTTCATTTTCAACCTGATGTACATATGGACCTACTCTATCCCGGACAACAAAAGGTAGCAACGTTTCAAGTTTCAGAAGAAAAAGGAAAAAGGCACGATGGAATTTTTCACAAACCGGTTTCTCAAAAAACTCTAAAACCAAACGAAACCAAACCATAGTCTACGGTAGTGCGTTTTGTTGGTCCGGACCGGAGGGAGGTAACGGGACCTGAACCAAATATAGTCTGGACTGGGTAGGTATGAGCATTATTCATGAAAAGGATGATGTATATATGATATAATATATACCACATAAAGCCAGTCATTTGGTGTAAACATTATCCAGAACAAAACCCATAACAAATGGGGCACACTATACATTGAAAAAATATCATTCTGAAAATATACATATACACCAGTCTCTAATTCAAATTCTCAGCTACCACTAATAATCATTCAAAGGAACTATAAAAAGCACAAACACGATTATCAGGACGACATCCAAAACAACGCCATACCCATTGCACCCTGCACATCCACATTACTACTATTATTCATTTGTTGCATAAACTTCCAATCCAATTCTGCATTTCTATTTGGTTTCTAGTTTTACTTTTCCCTTACAAGAATATATGATAATGGTCTTTATGGTTTCTGTTCTGGAATATATATTTCTCAACTTCAATTTCCTATTCGCCAACTCCTCTTTTTGTCAATTACTTCTCAAGGGTGTGTTACAAATTCTACATGTCATAAGTAACTTCTCAACAATCAAAGGTTGATGAGGGTGGTGTACCCGTAGATTCCAACCTCCCTGGAGGTGGTCAAGGTTCAAGCCTCACCTGTGTGTGAGTTTTGCTATGTATAAATTATATATACTTCTAAAAAGGCAGGGAAGCCCTTCTTATAAAGAATGCTTTTGCAACTCAAACTCGTCCCTGATGTTGGTAAGACTCACAAAGGAGTAACCTCCAGATTTGAAAATATAAATAGTAATTATACTCTTAAGGAAACGACACGCACCAGGATATTCCGTCTCTGATGTTGGTAGTGCAGGCAATGACATCTCTGCCAAAAATTGGTGGTAAACATCAGGATATGAATAGAAATGATGTTGCATGCAACTCAGCCCTACTATTTTGGGATAAAAGCCTTTTCATTGAAATGAAACCTAATCAAATTATTTCTGGTTTTACGGCTCACACCATCTTTTGATCATTTTCTCACTTGTTGGAGAATGTACTACGTTTTAAAAGACGTCATGGCAGAGTGCGTAACTACGTAAGCTGAAAACTGTTCTTCCTTTTTCTTGTTTTTGTCTATAGAACCCTTGTCTCAATCAGTTCGATTAGGGTGTGTTAGGTAGGCGGACTGGACATGCGAGAGTGAGGCAGGAGGGTGAAAGAATTGTGGAAGGTTTTAGAGTTTTTAATTTTACATATGCAAATAGTTAGTTACCAAGATCTGATTATGGGTTATTAAATGGAGAAATAAATCAAAATTATAAATTGGTTATTTAGTAAGTTACCAATCCCGCCTCATCTCCCTGAATTTTATTCCACCTATTTTGGTGAGACAAAAACTCAGTCCTGTCCTGTCCCGGTCTAATGCGCGTCAAACATGGGATAACAAGTTTTTCTTTTTGTCCTGAAACGCGTACCAAACTCACCCTTACATTTATCACTTTTCAGTTTCAACATTATTTTCTGAAATTGTTTGATCTGGCAGTTACGTGTACTTGTTTTCATTAAAACCAGAGTATTACCAGGAGCACAAAGAGAGAAGGATGACATAGATGATGATGAAGGCCATGGAGCTACAATATTATCGCTCAAGTCGCATGTAAAGCTGAATCCACTTGAATTGTCATACACTACATCCGCAGGCAAGCTTCTAAGTAGACACCCTGCAAATACATTAAAATACTAGATCAATAGTTGTGTCATAAGATATTGTTCCTCTTCATGAAATTATAATATCTTCCACATACTAACAGCTTCGACTCTCAGGTTATGGTAACATGTAAATACAACAAAGTAGTTGGGTTCTTATTAAGTCATCAGATTAAAGAATGGAAATTAAGCATTAGAACCATATACTTCACCGCCCACATAGGGTTCTTGCTGGACCAAGCAACATATATACGTGTTTGTAGTGAAAAGAGAACATGTTTACATGCGCAAAAGTTAGGAATAGAATACAACTAATAATGTCATTTGCTCAAAGGAGGGCCTCAAAAACCTTCGCTCTTCTAGCAGATACAATTAAAATGTAGCTTCAATCAACAAGGAAATATTGGAATTTCTGGGAAATACACAAGCAGTAACATCACAATATGATTTGTATCTACAGCCTACAAGTGTATGATAAAAGTGGAAAGTAAAGAATGGGATGTCTTATTGTCAATGAAAAGCCGTCCCAACTATTTTTGGATTGTAAGGGCCGCTAAGATTTTGTTCATCCATCAATGATGATCTTCTTGTAATTGACGCTTGCTGCAAGTTTTTGGGTGAACTTGGAAAGTTTCTTCAGAGTTATTTTCTGATTTGTATATAGAGTTCCTTTAGTTTGAAATCGTTGATTGAACATCCATTGGAAGACATCATGTTCAAAATCTTCGAACAGATAATTGGGTGAAAGACATCAACGTTTACAGGACCAATTATTCAAAAGCTAATGAATGGTGTGTGTGTGTATGTGTGTGTGTGTATATATATATATATATATATCCTGTGCTAGGATCAACTCCAAAGTCCTAAGACACTAATTGAAACTACCTCTGAACTCGAGTAGATCTAATCATTCAATAAAGTGGGGAATATAAAAAAGACAGACCATTCAAGCAGATCCAAAGAACTCCATGGGCCATGGCAGCATGCACCGAATCATAACATCATAACTAGTATTTACTTTGGAATAAAGTAAAAATATCCTATACAGAACTGATAGTGACAACACATCTAGTCAAGCTACTGCAAGTCTGCAACAATATGATGGATCCAGCCATTCATGGTTTTATTGGCTTTCCACATCCAGTTTGCTCTTAGAATATGAGCATATGATAAAATTTACTCAATAAGCCTTCCATGGTTCAACAACAAGAACAATTCTGTAATATTGCTCACTGAAACCTAAAGTAATGGATATTGACGATTTAAGACCAAGAACTAAATGAACAGCAACCATAGCATCTATATCTTTTACATTTTCTGTTGATATAAACATACTCCAAAAAGAGAAATCTGCACCTCATGCCCTCATTTGACTAGGCAGTATAATAGAGGGTTAAACTATATCTTCTTCATTGCAGTTTCATGATTTTGTCAACCTAAACTAATTTTCTGATCAATTTAACAATGGTAGTTTTCACTCTTTATCATACATCCCATTGACTGGTTTGGGCAAGTCAAATTGCGCTGATATGTGGGCTTTCTAGCCTACATCTACATGACACTATATGTGGCAAAAAAAGGTTCGTCGTAAGCCATGACATTTAATAAAAACTGACGTCATGAAACCAGTCAAATTTTTACAACATGAATTTATGCTTCACATCTTAAAATTCATCAGTGCAAAGTAAACAATCATGTTTTAGAAATATTGAAGTCATAAAACTCATCACGTTTTAAATAATTGTTATCATAAAAATAAAATCACATTTTAAAAATCTGTCCTTGGCAAAAAGTATTCACAATTCTAGGATTTGTTGTTGTAAGATCAGATATGTTTAACAAAATAGTGGTGCCATCAACCTAGTTAGATTTTAAAACGTAATTGTCTTTTAAAAATTTGCTCATCATAAAAAGTTTACAATTCAGTTCTTAAAACATATATAGGGGATACTTCGTAAAGCAAAAATAACTTTTAATAAATAAAAAGAAAACCAAAAACAAATTTTAATAAATAAAAAAGAAAACCAAATAGACACAAACAAAAAACAAAATCTTATAGAAAAGGAGAGAAAGGGGGGTGGGAGGGAGAAGACATGGAGAAAGGTGGTAGATTTAATTATTAAAAATTAATTTTTGTGCCACATCACTTGCCAGCAGCCTTTCTTTGCCACATAGGCTAAAACCCACATGATACGCAATTCAACCTACAAAAATGATCAATGAGGCGTTTGATAAAGAGCAAAAACTACAGTTGTTGGATTGATTGAAAATTGTATAATGTGGTACTTGATAAAATCACAAAACTCGATAGCGAAAATACAGTTTAACCAATAATAAAAATGATTGAGTACTTATCAAGTTCCAAAAATACAAAATAAGGGGATCTTGTGGACTAACAATGGTATGTTGTATGGATTACTATGGGAAAGTAGATAGCTTTAAGATGGAAATTTTTGCCAGAATCCATTAACTTGGGACATTCCTAATGAAAATTGTTGCAATTTCGTTTGGGGCGGAAGGAGCATAAACATAATGACCAGATGTAACTAGGAGACCTGAAGAAAAGCTTCAACTAACAGTAAAAGCACTGAAGTAACCCACTGCTTGATAGAAAACTATTTTCAACATAAGCCTACTTCATAACTTCAATATTTCTTAAAGCTACCAAGCCAGAAAATGTAAATGCTAATGCATGTAAAGTAAAACAAAATCGAATAAAGGAAAGCAAGGGTAGTCACCTTCTTCTCCATAGGCTGCTTCCCACCAAAAATCATAGTTGCATATGGAAAAGATACAAAATCAGATGAGGTCCTGATAACAGATAGGCATCAAACACAAAATAACAAAGCAATTTACCTTGGAGGCTAAAATCTTTCAAGTCAACATCACAGAGCTCATAAACGTCTGTCAATATTCCGCTTTTCCGTAGCATGGACCCAAAAACTGATGCACAGATTATTGCTTGTCTGTTTGTAATTAACATCTGCTTTTGTACTCCCGCAATGTAAGAATTCAGTGAACTACAGCATGAAGGACTAGGAGCAGCCACATTGCGACAAGCTTTAATCACCTCAACTGGCTGCTTGAATTCCAAAGGGCAAACTGCATCCCAAAGTTATCAATTCATGCATCATTCCAAATGATATTATATATCGATTTAAAAGAATAGAACCTTGAAGATTAATACTAAAACTTAAACATCAATACAGAACTATTCAAGATTGTCATCACCATAGGAAACCCAAAGAACAGTTGGAATTTAGGCCTTCACATAGACTCTGCCAGGAGGCCCTCTCTTCCAGAAAGGAGATTCAGATGATGACTACGAGTATGAGGGAGGTATAAACTTCCCCACTTAACAAAAATAATGAAGCCATAAAAATCTACAACAACATAGATAAGAACATCTGCGTACATGCATCTTAGCTCTAACATAGAAGCAGCATCATGCATGTTTATGAACAGGAAGAAAATATAGATCATGCAGATATTGTAATTTAACTAGCACATAACTAAGGATGCAAGTTAATGAGCCATCATTCACTTTGAACATTCCCATTACATAGCTAATCAAACAATATGTAAAGAAAAGATGCTGCAGCATAAGTGGATAAGTCAAATATATGATATCCTTCCATCAACAAAGCATCAAGGACTCGAAGCATAAAGTTTGAGATCATGGAGTGACATGCGTAACCGTACCTTTGTTAACTTTACAGGCGGCTAATATTCGAAAAGAAGAATCTGCAGCCTCTGATGGAAGTTTTCTTGAAAGCCATGAATACACAACCCCTTTGCAGTCATTTAGCACATCAACATGAGTAGATATGCCTGCCTCCATGTTCTCACCAACCACTGACTGTGATGAGGAAACCTGAAACGCAGCCTCCACAATTGCCGGTTGACAAACTGATCTGCAGCACTCCTTAAGAGGATCAATTACACTACAAGCCTCCAATAATTTGCTTGTGTTTACTGTTTTCTCAAACGTATTTAAGTCCTTCACAGGACAAGAACCACCAGTTAGATTTGATGATTTCATAGAGCACATAGCTGGCACTGAGCCGTTTGCACCTCTGCTGGCCAAGACTTCCATAATATCCGAGAAACAATCATCAGCAGTGGTATTTTGAAGAACTAAACTATCAGAATTTTTAGTGTAATGTCCCTGAAATATGTGAAGTGAACTACCAAATTGTGGGCAACATATTACATTTCCTACAAGTGGTGCTAAAAGTTGAGAACAGTCTGATGCTGTTTTGTCCATGATACTTGAAATGGAAGAGAAATTAAATGGGCATCTACCAGTCAAGACTGGTTTGTATGTCTTCGGGAAGGATGGATACATTGGTGGCAAAGCCTTCCCAGGAAAGGGATAATGTGGTAAAACTGAAGGCGATATTTCTATAGGCTCAAAAATTCCAGAACTAGGAAGGCTAACTAGTCGAGACGTGGGAGGTAGCTTCTCAGCAATTACATCTAGGAAATTGGAAACCCAGATAATGAATAGAAGGAGGCGAAGGCACAATGAACCTGCAATCAGATAGCAATTTATGTTACGCATTTATAAATAATTCGTTAAATAGATGAGAAGTTGCAGCATGTTATATGCCCATTGGACATTCTGCTAGAGCATAAATCTTGTGCTCGTTTGAGCATGTGTCTGTATACGTGTCTTCATCAGTATGCACAAACATCATGGGACAGAGAGAGCACAAAGGATCAAAAATGGCATAGTTTGAATATTTTTAAGTACAAAACAGCCTGCACTTCTATGTTTGACCGTACCTACAGAGGCATGCAAGGAGACAGGGAGATGAATGAGATTCTACCCCATATCCTACATTATACGATTCATTCTTTCTCTTTATTCTTATATATCTTCCTATCCCTGATAGATGATATTCTTCCCCACATCTATTACGTTACTTTTGATGACAACAGGGTAAAGACAATCACAAAGTCCACCAATTTGAAAATGTGCAATTTGAGGCCCATCACCTGAACTGTATTTTAAAAGGGAAGGTTCTGAAACTCTTCTGTTTGGTAATGATTAGTGCTAGAAGTTTTTAGTCCTTAAGTCACTATCAAGAGGAAAATATGATGTACACCCGATCAAAACAGTAAAATCAATGGTAATTTTGGTTGTATTAATCACAATCTAATGATTAACAAAGGGTTTTCTGGGTTACGAGAGGCTAGAATCTCTCCACAGGACTCAAGCCCCAAATTTAGTTTACAAAACAGAATGTCCTCTCCTCCTAACCTCTCCTTTATTTAACAGACTTCTAATGTGATTCCCCCTATTTAGCCCTATACAACAGACTACTCAAAAATTCCTATAATGCCCCTGCACATCATAACTACTGCTGTTACATCTAATGGCAGCATCCAGGGTATAACAAAATATTATGCAGGGCCAAAGGGAGTAAAAAGTTAGCCACACCTTGAACTATGAAGATCTGGGAGGCAAAATAATCTCCACATGGATGCTTTCAACATTTAACAGTGTTATGAAAGATATTCCATCCAAACAAAAGCCTGCAAGGTCGTAAGGAGTTCTATGTCATCTACAAAAAGGGTAGGTTGAGCCGCTACTGGCATTCATCCCCTCCCTCAGCAAGTAAATGTCTATTTAACACAGAATTTTCAGCTGAAAATGTGCATGCTAACAAACCCCAATTTTGTAGAATTGGACAAAAACCTGAGAATGGCGACCACGTAATATACAGATATAAAAAATTTATCAAAACACCAATAACAACATAACTAATAGACTATGACGTTTTTCTGCACAGCATAGCCCAAGCTTGTAGCCCACAACTAGAATAAATCAGGAACTTCCAACCCTCAAAGGCTGTATACACAAATACAAGTGATATATGGTTGGAGAGGTAAATAAGAAAAACAACAGCATGCAAGCATGGTAAACAGAGAGCTACAAGCAGATAATAATGAGATGCACCGAAATATAGTGATCAAGCAAACAACCGAAACTGTTGTAGTGATGCCTGCCTAAATGGATCTAAATCTCAGATTTCAGAGATATATGAATATAACAAGTCATGAAACCCTGAACTCAAAAAAATTGACTAAAAAAATGATAATCTGACGAATGACAGACTACCTTCCAGCCAAGTAAATCTTGGCCAGATAAAATGGCATATCATAAATAATAAATTCATATTAAACAACATACCCTTGAGAAGAGCGGCAGCCTTGACACAATCCATAGCTTAACTACCCCCCTGGCAACATGAATACTGCAGAAGCGTTCTCGCACTGTCAGGAAAGAATATAATCCCATTTATTATATCAGTAACAACCTCGAAATAATACAACATCAATATGGATCAACAAGACAACCACACAACAGGCATATGGTTGGTTATTTAATTAGAATTTTTATAATGATGGAAAATGAGATGGTCATGACGCAGTTTTTGCACCTGCCAGAAATTGCAGTAATGTTTATTGAGCTTTTTGGCTTTTGGCTTTTGGCTTTTGGCTTTTTGTCTGTTCCACATTAAATGAGCCTTTTGCTTTTCACCCTTTTAAGTAATATCTATATCCTTTTTGCGGGGTTTTCAAACATTTATTAGAAACTCAACAGCAACTCTACACTTTAGATATCTTCTCATAATGCTAGTTCAAGCTAATCAAATTAGTGTTGTCCAAACCATATTTTTCCATCAAGTATAGCACACAACAGTTTCAACTTTCTTCTAAAAAGCCATCAAAATACAAAAGTTTCAGATGCTTGTAAAAATGATATCCAATCCTGATGATACTGAAAGCAACTTGTGTTGATCTACATATCAATATAATAAGCTATTTTCTTATCATTATGTTTAGGCAGAAATCCTCATTAATCTTGGGTGGAGGAAGTAATAGCTAGCATGAAAGTGCCTCTTAAAGAGACATCAAAGACTAAGTTGCAGTCCAAAATAGTAACAATATTGCCAAATCTTGTTTATCTAGTTATTAAATATGAAATTGTCTGGATGAGAATCTTTGTTATAGTCATTCCATGTTAAGGAAGCATTGTCAAAGATTCTTAATCCCTAGATAAAGCAAGCAACACAATGTACTAATTCTGCATTACACCATGTCAGCATTAAGAACAAGCAAACAAGATGACATTGCATCACATATTGGAACAGACTCTTGTGGTTGTACAATGCTCTAAAAGGCCATAAATGGAGCTAGTCAATTGAGTGACCTTTTAGTGCTTAATCACCTAGCAAAGATTAACGGCATGCTTAAGCTGAACCATAAGCCATTCATTTCGGTATATAAAAGTAATTAGTTTTAGATTATGTAAACATACAAGAATAATTCTTTTTATATGATGTAATTTTTGTACAATTATTTCATATTTCTTCAACCAAAGAATTGGAAAATTCCCTCCAAGTTAAAAGAAGCTAATTGATGAACACAAGTTTAGAAAGGTGGATTTATCATTGCTTGATCTTTTGAAACACTTAATTCACCGAGTAGTTGCCAATCAAAGTGATCGAGGATGCTTAACTTCTAAGCGGCTTTAACTAGTCGAAGCAGTGAGGGGATGCTAAAAGCCTAAGCAGTTTAAGTGGTCCTAAACGTGATACATAGAGCACTGAGCCACATAGGTCGATCCACCTTCATGAGAATGAAGTTCTGATACTTTATCCACAACAAGTTGCCTTCACGTAGCAAATTTTACTAGCCATTTTCAAAACTTATTTCTGCCCATCTAATCAAGTTCCTAGTAGTTTCCAGAAAAATGGCAAGAAAATTATTAAGAAAAGCATTTCATCATTAAGAATAAGAACTTTAGAGACCCTAAAGGAACCTACATGGGATATATTTAAAGGAACCTAACGCATCCTTTTCCCATATTCAATGAACCAATCAACCAAAGCAGCCCATTGCTTGATTAAATTCGTTCAGACTTCAGATCCTTTAACAGTTAAAAAACTTAGTGTAGGGAGCCTTGTAACATAGCATCAAAATCTTATGTCAGTCACAAGAACCACAAACCATCTACTTACGAAACAGAAAACAACCATAAACAGCAACAAAAATGTGCTATCAGGCAAGTTCTTTGGATTAAACAACCTCTAAACCATCTCCAAATGGTTCACAGCATCTTGGCAATCAACTCTCATCTTTTCATCAGCAAGTATAGCAACTGAACTCTATAGCAACTTATTGATCCATTTCATGCTTCCAAACAATATGTTATCTCATTAGAACTTTATAGCTGAAATATCATTTTTCCTGGTGCTGGATTACCATGAGTCCTCAAGTGTTCTGAATATGAAATCTAAGTCTCTATCTATGATGTGAGCTACGAATCAAGCAAGATACTGCAAGAAACAGAAGGGAACCCCAAAAAAAGCATGAGCAGAGAATAAACTGAAACAAGCTTCTTCAGAACCAACATGATGTACGCACATACCTAGAGGAGGTGTTGATTGGATGGAGTCTGATCTGAAGAGATATGTTGCAAACTGTACGGAACAAGTGACTACAATAAACCAGATCCTCCCTTGTCATTTAGGGTTTTCTTTTGGGATGATGCCTAATAGCTGTAGAAGAATTCGCACACCATTTTAAGGCATTCTTAAGGATGTTTTCCAGATTGTCTTAGTGGCAAAGAGACCTTAAAAACCCTAAATTCAGGTGTATTTTATGTGTGAGAAAAAGTGCTTGCAAAGCTCAATGATGAGTGGCAAATATGTGTGTGAGAGAGAGAGAGAGAGAGAGAGAGAGAGAAAGAGATGGAGAATAACTACCACTGTGCCGGTGGGTTCTTTGTTTCCTGTGTACCCGCGGGTACTTTGGACACACATTGGTTCACGGCCCACTTCCTATTTTTGGTGGGCCTTGAACAGCCCGGCCCAAAATAAAATATAAAATTATTTATTAAATCAAAATAATGAGACTACTTTGTTCAAATACAAGATAGGTCCAGATTTGATCCAGCTTTCCTGTTGATCCAGATTTCCTGTTAGAACTTCCAGATTTCCTGTTAGACTCATCCGTTGAATGAGTCAAAAAAATATTTCTTTATATTGGTGTTATTGGAGGCAGGTTCCGTATGCTGCCGGTTAGAGTTGCTGGTAATCAATTTTTTGTTCAAATTGTACTTTGTTATGACTAGGGTCAAAAAGGTCTTTTGGCTTATTTTGTTCTTACTAAACGATATTTTAGACATTTGGCCAATGACTAAGCTCTTATATTAAATCTCTAAAATGAAAAGTTAAAGGGCAAAAACTTCAAAAAAAAAAATTATATTCATCTCCAACAACTTCTTCATTTTAAATATTACAATATGAATTATATTATTAAAATATTCAATATATTTCATAAAATATTATTTCATTCTCTTATATATTTAATTTCAAAGATTCTCATTGATAGAATAATAAAAAATAATTTCTCGAGTTCTCCAAATTTGGAGAATTTCACCATCTCTCTCCTACTTTCTCAACATTGGAGAAGGTTGTGGAAAATCGATTGAAATAAAAATCCCTAAAATCTTTATTTTAGAGAATATGTTGGAAATGCTCTTATGTGATGGAAAAATTAATTTTATATATGACATAATTTGATTTTTATCATGTTAGAGTTAGAAGGTTGACAATTTTGTACAAAACTAAACCAACCAAACAAAACATGTGTACCAATCGTGCAAATGAAATTGATACCAACTTAATTTGTACTAATTACAATCGATTGATATTATCGTATCAAGTATGCAAATTTTGGTTGGTACATGGTAATAAAATTCGTGTACCATGGTAGTAACGTGGTATTGTTATTTAATCAGTTATCTATATTATCTTATTAAGCAAATTTAGCAAAAATCTTAAAATACTAAATGACCAAGATACCCTTTATACTACCCTTACGTCATTTTTTCACCCCCTCCTCTTCTCACATACACTCACCGATTTTTTTAGAATTATAATTTTAAATTTACACTTGTACTCCTATAATTAGTTAATTAATTTACTTTACGTTTTTTACTTTTAAATGTTTCATTTTAAACGTTTATCAAATTAACATACATAATCGTATATCAATTAAAACATGTTTAAAAATACATTTTTATTTTAACAAGTTACACCATTATAATCGTCTCGTCTCGTTAATACCTTCGAAATGAGTCCAATATTAAATAGTTTTTTACTTAATTATATTATTATATATTATATATATTGTGAAAAAATATTTTCAATATTTACGATTTATACTTTTATAGTTATTTATTTATATATATACTATATATTTTGGGGTTAGGCTGTCAAAATTGCATTGTATAATATGTTCTTGGGTTTTTTTTGAAATATATATACATGTATTAATTCAACCTTAATCTGAGTTTCTGGACAAGAAATAGGGTAAGCAGTTGAAATTTCATTCTAAAACCCATTTTTTTGTCTTTTCATGGCTTATGATTTGTCAAATTTGTAGTTTTCTTTATTGGTTTTGAGTGTTTATCTTAAAACTCAAGTTTTTTGGTTCTTTGCTCTTGGTGTAAATCGAACACATTTGTGGAGTCGTTTAAATATGTTGGATTTTAAATATATTGGATTATAAACTGTCATACATCTTTTTTCATCGATAGTCTGTGATTGGAACCATAACTCTTATTTATTCAAATTGTATTAATATATAAAGATCAAGTATAATTTATATCATCGTTAAATCTTATCTTATAAAACCAGTGGAACTTCAAAATCGTTAAAATTCATGGCTCCCGCCGCATTGCGCGGGTACACAACTAGTTAGTTTTTGAAAATTTTACGTATTAAATATTAAAATTTGTAACTTTTATTATTTTGTTTGAAAATTTGAATGCTTGCAAGTTTTAGTCATCATAATTTAAGACCATTTAACATCATATCTGCTAACTGGAATTATCTCCAACAGATTGTCCAAAAAAAAAAATTCTAAAATGAAGAACCAAAGTCAAAATCTCCAAAAAGTTACAATTATCTCCAACAAATTACCCATTTTGGAGAATCCAACATTTATCATAATACTAAAATATTTCATTCATTTATTAAAATATTATTTATCTCTTTAAATACATATTATCAAAGTTTTTTTTATTGGTAATCTCACTTGATAATTATTTTTTGGGTGTTTTCCATATTTGAAGAACAAACTCTTCT